AAGCCTTTTAATAATCTATCCTTTAATTAGTGAATTAGTGGTGTAAGCTTTGAATTGAATTTGGAAAAAATCTACTAACATGTCATGAATCATTGAGTTGTAGAAGATAAGTATGGGGAAGAAAAAACTACACTCATCCATTGCTTGGAAGGTACAAGGGGTCAAATGGGAGATATATTGATGTTTTGTTGCTTTCATAAAAGGTGTGGTGGGTGCTTTGAGAACTTTGTCACAATGGGAATAAGTTCAGCTTTTGACAACAAAGGCCCATATCAAGGAAGAAAGGTACACAACAGGCTATCAAAGACAACCCATTAGTTCATCCCACATGTCAATGCCAACTCTCTTCTGCCATCAAGCAAACCCCTTGAAAACGACACACAACCCCACCTATTTATTAATTGATATTCAGTTTCTCTATGTCCCCATCACAAAATAGAGGTATCTCAGTATCTAGGCCCATGTCTTTGTCCTTAATCTTTGAATCTTTGATTAGGCGTAGTCGAAAAACAATGAAAAAAATTACTAGGTAGGGTCCCACAGTTATAAAGAGATAGAAAGGTGTGTCATAAAGCAGCCTACTTTAGAGATTTATCTATATATTCCATTTTATGTAATCTTTTTTTTTTTATTTTATTTTTCAAATAATGAAGATTGTATTCAATGTATAGTTGGCTGTGGGGTTTTGAAGGGGATACGGAGTTGGACAAAGTTGAGCATGAAATAGGGATCCAATTAAGGGCTATGGGGCCCTAGATGTGAACCCTCACTTTTTTGTTTGCATTGGTTAAATGTGGGTTTGGGGGCACACACCAAATGGTCCATATCCACCTTTTAAATTGATGGGTGCACTTTCTTTTGTTTCCCCTAGAAGCACATTTTTTCCATTTATAACAAAGGTCCCACATCCCACATTGGACACAACTTGTCAAAGACACAGCACTATCCCATCCAATGCAACATCCATTTATATTGGAACTTTAAAGCCTGCAATTTGATTTGCTTCAAGGGTATATATGGATTTGGCAAAGATATATACATAGGATAGTGGAGTGGGAGTAAAGCTAAGGGATAGAATCATTATTCTATGGTTGAATCAAAACCCAAAAAAGATAGCAAGACTATTCTTTCTAGGATACATCAAAGATGGGTGAAAGCATCATGTTCTCCCACTAACTATAATTCCCCTTCTGCTAAAGCCTACATGACTTTTAGCCTTCTCTTAATGGGGTTTTGAAGATTGCAACATCAAAAGCTATTAAGTGTAAAATAAACCAACACACCCATCTTGTGTATGATGATTGTGTCCTGCTTTTTGAAGTTTTAAAAGTCCCTATGGTACAAGTGACCAACATTATTCAACTACCCAACATAAATGGTTTTAGTGAATAGCCTTTTTCATTGGAGAGAGAGAGAAAAAAAGAAGAAAGAGAGAGGTGAGAGATATTGTGGATGATTCCAATATTCATGTTGTTCTAGTGGGTACCCATTACCATCTGGCAGAATTGATTTTTTTTTTTTTTTCCTTATGGTAATGAGAAAATAGGGAATGAAGTTATTGAAGATGGAGTAGTTTGAACTTTGACAATGATTCTAGGTGAATGGATGATGTATGAGGTTTAAGAGGGAAGCAAATGTCTTCTTTTTTTTCTAGATGAACTTTCACTTTTCTCCTTTTTATGCGTTCTGAAAAAAGAAAGATGCATTGGTGCATGCTGATTGTTGAAGTGAAAGGGCAATAGTTATTGAGTAGGCCCAAACAATGACTTTAATTTTAGATTGATGCACACACATGAAATCAAATTAGCTTCACAATTTTAGGCCAAGAAAAGAAGGCATACCACTAATTGGTTGGCCTAAGCTTTGTTTTTTTGTTAAAAGTCATGTTTGCGTTTTCTTTTTATTTGTAATGATTTAAAATATTTATTTTCGTAAGATTTAAAACTGAAACTTTTCAAGATCTCAACATATACATTTATAACTAAACTTTCATCTCTCCTAGATTCAAATCAAAGTAAAAGACAGAGAATGAAGGATGGAGAAGTTTTTGGTCTAAGTAGGAAAAAGAAAATTTCTTGCACTTCATCCGAAAATGAGATGGATCCCAGTTAAATAAAACCCCAAATTAATGCTTTTTAAACTTTATATCTAATATTTTCTTACATCCTTGACAACTTTTTTTTTTAGGATTGAAATAAATGGAATAAGTATCAACCTCTAGGCAATCTTTGTAAGTTTTTCTAAAGTTTAAGCCATTGCCTAAATCAAAATGATTAAATGCAAATTGGGTTGATATCCAATTACTGTCATGGAAATTGGGTTGAGAATGCTCAGGACCTCTGGTTTTTAGTGGGCCTTTTTAGCCCAATAAAGAAGGTACCGACTTTGGTCGAGCAAGCCTGTTATGCTTTGCTTTTTAGACTGGGCTACACTTAATTATACCCATGTAAAAAAAAAAAAAAACCTTTTTGTTCAGGCCTGATCCAAATTACATTACTTGGGTTTAAATGCATAGAATAGAAACTATCTCGGGCCTGATATTGTCAAACAGAAAAGGCAAAACATGCAGATTAATCCTTCATCTTTTTAAGCGGTGGCAGACTACGTCCTCATTTGAATTCACGCGCAAACTCACCCTCAAACTTATCATTGGTGGCAAAATAGCCCTTGTTTAATGGATTACATCGGCAACCCGTCCAAATCTAATGCGGATTTATCTGGGCTTTACTTGCAAGTTGCAATTTTTTGTTGACATGTCACTTCACATCAAATTTAAATTTAAAATAATTATTATTGAAATTCATAAATTAATTTCCAAAATTAAAGGTAATAAACAAATCAAATCGGATAGATTTAAATTGAATCATTTTAAATTTTGAATTTGTTGAATTGAGTTATTTTGAGTTAACAGTGAAAAATTTATGATCCATCCATCCAGATTTTGAATTGGGTTAAATGGATTCAACATTTTTAAAAATTAAAAACTTTCAACATTTTATTTTTTTTTTCATAAAAAACTTATTATTAATTATTTAAGAAAACAAATATATTAAATTAATATTAGCTATAATAATCTAATAAATAATAATTATTTTATATTATTTAATTTTATTTTATATTTAAAAATAAAAATTAAAAATATAATTAATCA